GCAGTGTAGAGTAGCACTTGTTGTTTGTATTTCTCTGATCACAAATGCAGACAGGGTTTTATGTTTACGCGGCACGATGCAATGCAACGCAACACGTAAAAAGACCGTATAAGTTATTATAATCAGTAATTATGTCCCCACTGGATGCAACAAATGCCTCGTTTGTAATGGGTTTTAATGTTTCTGTGTCGTCGCTCCGGCCGAACACGGCATCAACAGTATGGTGAGGGGCGTAACATTTCCGTCTCACGCTTGAGGTATTCGGCCAATCACAACGCACTGGATAGCTGGCCAATCAGAGCACACCTCGCTTTTTCAGACCGATGAACTTTGTAAAAATCGATGCGTTTCAAAAAGGCGGGGCATAGAGGAGAAACAATAATGTACAGTATGTGGAAAATAATGTGTTTTTTTTTACTTTAAACCGGATAAACACATTTCATTACACCAAATGCACAAAATAATGTTCTTTTTAGCAGCATCATATGACCCCTTTAAAGTGATGGTTCACCCAAAAATGTAAATTCTGACAATTCACCCTCATGTGTTGTTTCAAAACTGTAAAACTTTTTTCTTTTCTGTGGACCACAAAATAAGCTATTTTGAAGTCAGTAAGGTTAACATTCTTCAAACGTTGCCCAAATGACATGAGGTTGCGTAAATGATGACTCAATTGTTCTGACCATCAGCACTGGTTTCTAAATATTCTGATATCTTGAAAGTAACCGGCAGAATCAACTGCTGCAAAAAGCGCCTGGCCTCTGATCTTGGATCTCAGCTACAATGTTCTCCGCATGGATTCTGCATATGGTTGGATTCGCTCTGCTGGTCAGGGGAGACATCAGTGATGAACAGTGTCCTCTTCATGAAGTCAAGCCTGGGAAAGGTGAGAGAGAGAAAGATAACACTCTCAGACATTATTGCATTCAATTCTTTTTTTATGAAATCTGTTTAGTTCAGGCCCGTGTCCACCAGATAGACCCTTATCAGTGGTTTCTCTAATCTTCTTGTGGCCTCCGTTCTGGACTCATACATATACATTTTATTATCCCATCCAAAATAAATCCTTATCTTGGACCGAGCTAAACATCAATAGAGATTTTCCTTTGCAGACACTTGTAATTCAAAATGTGGCTTAGATTGGCCAGTATAAAGCAGCTCTGAAGATCTGATTTTAGAAGTTCACTTCTAACTAATCTTGAGAGCCTTGCAGAATCTAAAAATAATAATAAAAAAAAATCCCTTTAAGTTTAGCAATCCAAAACTTACATCACCCAGAGCTTTGTAAGTCTAGTAAGTCACTCGAAGTTCCTGTTTGTGGCCAAATGTCTGGTGAAAATAAATTAAAAAAGACTAAAAAGTTTTCCCCCCAAAATGGAGAGCAAATCATCATTCATCAGGCTTTGTTTTCTGTGCTGGAGTATATTGTGTATATATGATATGCCATATCCAGTATTCATGCATTGCAATTTTTACTTTTGGGAAGCTAACATGTCTTGTGATGTCACACACTAAACAAGAGCAAAAACTAATAATGATTATTCTTTGTTAATATTTAAATATTAATACCTAATATTTCAATTTAAATTAAAATTTCATGAAATTGAAAAATTTTATTTATTTTTAATAATGACAAAAAATAAAGGAAAATGAATTAGTCACATCGCAAAGCCATTTAAAATACTAAAATATAAATAAGCCAGTTACAGCATCTAAAATACACATTTTATATTCATATAAATTGCAAATAAAAATCTTGAGTTGATAAACATTTATGGTCATTTTATAGGTTGCTTACCTGTAAATAGAATATGTGTTATTTTAGCATCATTGAGATACTATTATAGTTTGTATTAATATTTTCAATCAGTTTTTATTTTTATATTTTCATTTTTCATTCTAATTTTAGCTAAAGTTCTAGTTATTTGTCATTTTTAGTTGTTTTTGTTTTTATGTCTATATAGCTTCATCATAAATTCGTTTGTATTTGTTTTATTTTATTTTTGTTGTAGTTATTTTAGTACATCAAGTTAAACTAAATTAAAATGAAAAATGTTGCATTGGCAACCAGCCAAGCTGAAATTAAATAAATATATATCTTAATTTATTTCAGTTAAAATTGATTTAATTTCAAGAAACAATTTTTTTTAATGGTTTTAATTTTAATTTCAGTTTTAGTTAACTATATTAACCCTAATCTGTGCCACTAATAAAGCCTGCATTAAGTATTATTTGGCTGAAAGCAAGACAATATATCTGGGATGCAGTGGCACTTTAGTGACTCTTATGTTGTAATGTCTATCAAATCTATGCATCTCAGACATGAAACGATGTCATTGCACTTAATACTGACCTTTGAACTCTTGTTTCAGAATCTGCAGTGATGGATTCCTTGCAGTGCCACAATGATTACATGAGCTATGCACAGTGCACATGGGAGGTTGATCCACATGTTCATCCACAAGCTACAGAAAACATGCATGAATTGTACTACTTGGACACAACTTTAGAGTAAGTGGAAAAAACTAAAGAAAAACAGAAACAAACAATGAAAGAAAGACTACAATAGGGGAAATTAACTTTTCTACGCTCTCTCTCTCCCTGTCTGTAGAGAAGAAACACTTTGCGTCTCGAATAGATCCGGTGTGCTTTTATCCAGTGGGAAGATCTCTCACATGTGTCGCTATAACACTGAAAGGTTTAACATAGGAACAGATCACATTCTCTACTTCAAAGTGCCCTGTGTACCCAGAGCCACGACTCTCAGAGTTGCTGAGAAAGGTGAGAGTGTATTTTGTGCATTTACCTTCTAAAGAATCTCTGGCGTGGAAAAGCCTTTCACCGTTCCGTGTGTGTGATTTCAGGAAAAGTTAGGGCCCCAACTGACTTGACAGAGACGTTGGCTGAAAACGGAGGTCGTCTGCTGTCCTGGAGAAGCCCGTATCCTGCATCCTCAAAAATCGCAGGAACTCTTGTGTACCAGCTTCAGTATCGCATATACATGCATAACTGGACTGTGAGTACACACACACAAACACACACACACACGCAGTACACTGTCAGAAAATAAATAATTGTGTTTTATCTACCCCACATGCATGTTGGTAATTTGATATATTCTTTAGGTACATGCAACCTTAGGTGTAGATAATTTAACACATTTTAATTCAAATGTTTCACACAAATTGTGCTGATTAATATATAAAATATATACTATTTATTTTATATATAATAATATACAAAAAGTCAAACTGCACAGTACACACACACACACACCATTCATCAAAGAATCCTGAAAAAATGTATTATGATTTCCACAAAAATATTCCACCAAATCAGCATATTAGAATGATTTCAGAAGGATCAAGTGAATATAAGTTTTAGTAATAATATTTCACAATATTACTGTTTTACTCTTTTTTTCAATTTTTTTAAAAATCCAGAATATTGCCGACTCTGAACTTTTGAATGATTGTGTATCCTACTGTATATATTTATATTTGTAATTAAAATATATTTTTTTAATTAATAAAATGCCAGTAGAGTCCAATCCTAAACAGCATTAAAGTTCTGACACACTCAAATATCATCTGATAGGATATCTTGTGGATATCGTGTCTACAACTGTGCAGTAGCAGCTCTGTTTCACTATAATATCAAACACCACAATCTGCCATTGTACGGACACGTCATCATAACCTCAAACTTCACACGATTCCCACCTTAGATAAAGCCTCCACATGAAAGAGTGATGCTAGTGTTATGAAACTGGAGACAGATCCACTCTTACGTTTTGGATATTTACATGGGGAAATGCTGAGCGCATTTATATGTATTTGTTGTGAAACTGAGCATTGTTTGTTTACCGTTGAATGTGTGTTTGTACGTACACGCGCAGTGTGTTACTGATATAATGCTGCCTTCACGTGCTATTGGAAATTTCCTATTTCCCACGTATGAAGTCGTGATTACGAGCTTGTAGTATTCAAGTGCTTTAATATCGGAAAGAATAAAATGTAGCATCCCATTGGTTGACTATCATAAACATTCACCACGCTACACATGCAGTTTGCTGACAATTCTGGAATTTCGGTCAAATACATGCTTATTTCACTGCTTATAAAACATACAATATGCTTCGAATGATCGTTCATATCTAGCCTATAAATACACTACTTTAGCGACAAGACAAAGGGATGTAGTCTGTTGAAAAAAAACAGCATATACTGGTTAGGTATGTTTTGAAGCTGGGATGCTGGTTTGAGCTGGTTTATGCTGGTCCTTACATGGTCATATGCTGGTCTTAAGCTGGTCGGACCAGTTTAGGACCAGCACATGACCGGCTAAGGACCAGCTTAAACCAGCTAAGGACCAACATAAACCAGCAAAGGACCAGCTTAAACTAGCTCAAACCAGCATCCCAGCTTCAAAACATACCTAACCAGCATATGCTGTTTTTTTCAACAGGGGTTGTTGTGAGAACAGCATTGACAGCAGCTTGGTTGTCCCCTCCACCATGTTTAAAGATTATGACCCGCCCAACTCGGAAACTCTGGTATCAAAATTATTTCTGAATTTCCCAGTAGCAAATACGACTCGAGAGGCTTTCTCGTCTAATTTCCGATTAGGAAACTCATATTTACAATAATTCTGATAGCACGTGAAAAGGTTAGTTCACCCAAAAATGAAAATTCTGACATTAATTACTCACCCTCGTGTCGTTTCAAACCCGTAAGATCTCCGTTCATCTTCGGAACACAAATTAAGATATTTTTGATGGAATCTGAGAGCTGTCTGACCCTGCATGGACAGGAACGCAACTGAAATGTTCCCAAGTCCAGAAACGTAGCAAGGAGATCTGTAAAATAATCCTTGTGACATATGTGGTTCATCCGCAATTGTACGAAGCTACGAGAATACTTTTTGTGCGCAAAAGAAAAAAAAAACGACTTTATTCAACAATTTGTCTCCCTGGTGCCATTTTGGAGAATATCCGCTGGACGTAAACAGCGTATGCTATTCTGTGTCAGCTGCGTCACGCGGATACACTGTTTTCATTCAAATCAAAGCGCAAACAACGTAGGAAACAGATCCGGATATTCAAACAGATATTCAAACAGATTGGATATTCTCCAAAATGGCACCAGGGTGATGCGGAGGAGACAAATTGTTGAATAAAGTCGTTATTTTTTCGTATAATTGTGGATGAACCACTGATGTCACAAGGATTATTTTACCGATCTCCTTGCTACGTTTCTGGACTTGGGAACATTTCAGTTGCGTTGCTGTCTATGCAGGGTCAGACAGCTCTCAGATTCCATCAAAAATATCTTAATTTGTGTTCCGAAGATGAACAGAGATCTTACGGGTTTGAAATGACACGAGGGTGAGTTATTAATGAAATAATTTTTGGGTGAACTAAACCTTTAACAGGTTTTGCTCCTGAATGAATCAGTGTTTTGAATGAATCGGTAACATTAATGATTCAGTGACTCTCATAAACATGAGCAGCATCCGAAATCGCATACTTCCCTAGTAGGCGAAAATCTTTTTGTGACAAAAGAATTATGTCCAAACTCACAGTATTCATAAAAGATTAGGCAAAACGTACCCAGATGGAAAAAAAAAGTTTGCAACTGGCTTTTATCACTCAATTAAATCGTGTGATTTGTAGGGACTGCTGAACAGAAAGTTTGAAGCTTATCTTAAAGTGTAAAGTAATACATGTACAGACTGCGTAAATAAAGCTCTGTAAAAACATTACTTGCATTTTAACAACACGTTGTAAGTGTTTCCCATCTGATAACCAAAAGTTCTACACAGACTTGCTGTCTTCACACCTAGTTGGACACTTGGGCCATATAGGAAGTACGTCGTGCAAGTAAACAAGTGGTCAAGTGCAAAGACCGCAACTGTGGGTGTTGGGACAGGCCAGGCTGCGTTCCAATTTTTGACTCGGATGTATAAAAATGATTATGTCGCACAAGTGCCCACTACTGGTGGAACCCTTGCAAGGGGCTGAAGTGGAACGTCCTAAGCCCTTGATCACTTGGAATCTGCTATGGAGTTTATTTATTTATTGCCTTACGAATCTGTTTGATGCAGCATTTTGTATGTGTATAGGTATGCTGGAGCTGTTTTAAATATAAAAAAAAGAATTCATATATCGCTGTTTTGGGTGGGAGTATATTCAATGAGATCTGTGGCGACTTCATAACCATGCTATATTGTGGCATATGGAGATGCCTGAAGTGTACATATGAAGTAGACTCGCTCTCTCGGTCGAAATTCAGGGCCTGAGGATCTATCCATATAAACTTGCCACGTCCACTTAACCAAGTGGAACACACTTCAAAATGGCAGTGGGGATTCCCCTGTTAGGAAGTGCATAGGGAAGTTCGCGAGTATGCGTCTAAAAGCAAAGTGGAACACAGCCCGGATTACATTCATACTAGACACATTCACAGTAGAACATGCTTTTTAAACAGTCTCTGAGTAATTACTTAGTCGAAAGAAGTACCTCCACAGAGAGTACGCAATTTCAGCCACACTTCTTTTGTTTGTGAATTAATCTGTTTTCTCATTCTCTTTTACTCGAACAGACTGTGGATAACATCAATGCTTCCGAGTATATGATTGAAAAGGAGTCACTGTTGGGTTACCATTATCAAGCCAGAGTGAGGGCGCGAGGCCCTCTAGGACTCTGGAGTGACTGGAGCCCCCTGGTGTCCTGGAAGACTCACAATGGTAATATTTTTTGTTTATATTTTGCTAATAGTCTATAATATAAAATAATTTCCTTTTTATACTGCAAACACCTGTTTTAATAAAGTTCATGACCTCTCGTAGATGGAGCCTTTAACCTGCAGTGTGTGATGATGGAAGAAACAACTGTGATGTGTACCTGGCAAATGAAGACAGAACATTATCAGTTTATGTCTTATCATCTCTGGTGCAGTAATAATGATAACACTGAGTGAGTTCTCCATCCATCACAAACTCATGTGACTATCAACTGATCTAATGTCACATCCTGTACACTGAGAACTCTTTCTCTCCCTCAGACCCTCAGCTTGTTGCGAAGATCCTCAGCTTCAGTCGAGCGACTTTGAGCTTTCTGAGTTTGTGTGTTCTGTAAATACCCCTGACCCTTACCTGTTAACAGTGGAGCTGAGACCAGTGCACTACACTAGGACGTTCAGTACTTCAAAACACAGTGAGTTTCTTTGAAATGTTATTTAGTGGAGTCTTGCGTGCCAGCGCTTCCATCTGAGTTTAGGAGGAACACTGATGTTCATTCGTCTTCTCTTCAAGTTCACCTTTCACAACCTGGCCAGATCCATGTGAAGGAAGTAGATGGTGTTTTCATACTGAACTGGACTGAACCAGCTGTTTCCGAAGATATTGAATACTCCATCCAGCTAAAAATCTCACCCAACAAGGTGCGTTAGTTATCTTTCAGCATCTGTGTTGCATTTACTAAATGATTCATTGTAGCTGTGACTGATCACATGCATGATTTCACTTTCTCTTTGTAGGCCACAGAGAGCTTTACCCTTTCTAAGGGGTCCAACGATTTTGAGATTCCCTCTACGATTCTAGATCCTTCAACTGAATACCAGGCCCAGATCAGATTACTGCATGTACCTGATGGTGTTTATGATGTTCAGCCATCAGAATGGTCACAGCCAGCAGTGTTCAAAACTAAGCCAGGTAACACCTTGATTTCAGCTGTGCATTTCTGATCGTATCCTAGTTTGATGTTGATATATTTAATTTCATTTTAGAGAAACTTGGGTAATTTGCCAGTTCACAATTGAGATGTGCTTTGGAACATTAATCTCACTTTTAAAATGGTGTTTTCAATAATGAATTGTTCATTTTGCAATTGTAATTTAAAGCAGAAATTAATCACTACAGCATCAACTAATTCAGTTGTTTTTTTTAAGATAAGAAAATGATTAATATTGATATACAAGTTGGATTTGGGTAGATTGGGTTAATTGTTACATTGGGATTACATTGAGATACAATGAGGAGACTCTTAAAAATTGGTGTGTACATGCAAATTCACCCTGCATGTGTAACACCCCCGTGGACTGTTTGTTGTGGTTTCTTCCCCTTTTGTTGGTTTAGTCCGTTCAGTCATTAGTTAATCACCTCATTGTGCTCACCTGTCTGCCCCTCGTTATCTGCCCTATATCTGTTCCTGCCTCTTGTATTCTAGTGGGTCGGTTATTGTGAATGTTACCCCAAGTGTGTGTCTCAGCTACCCAAATCTGCCTTGGTGTCGCTACATTAAATATACTTATTTGAATCCTTGTCGTCCTCGTCATCCTGCCTGCCTCCACACACCGTGACCGTGACAGAATAACCGACCCAAAAGTAAAGTATAGTGGCGTCTTTCCCCTCGTTTGTTTTTGCCAGCTTTTATTTTTTTTGATGGATTACCCCGCATTCCAAATCCTCCTGCTGGAGCAGGGGGAACGCTCTCTTGAGGACCACACAAACGACTTTCTGTCCCTGGCCCACCTCACGCACTACCCGGACAACTGCCTCTGTTCCTTCTATAGAGTTGGACTTAACGCCACCACACGAGCGCAGTTGTCCGGGGATGGTCCTCGAGAGAGCTTTGCCACCTTCATCGAGTAGGTGCTGGTGTCCTGCAAATCCCATGTGACTGTGGACATCGCTGACAACACCAGCCCCACTCAGGACCCTGAGCCCAACCCACCATCTCCCCGCGGTACGGAGCATCAACTTGAGCCCACCGATGATGGAGAGCCATTTCCCGCCACGATCCACGAGCCAGAGCAAAGCCCCACGGCTGAGAAGAGGATCGCCTCGGATGTTGAGCCCAACGCGTCAGACCAGGCGCGAGAGCCGGGGACAGTGCCCACCACGAGGGAGCAAGCCGTGGACGGTGTGAGTGCAGAGAGGAGCTCCGCCCCCTGCATCATGGCTGAGGGTGAGCGGACTATGGAGGGAATTCAGGGCCAAAATGAGGAGGAGAGACCGCGTGATGCCCAGGAGGGGCTCCTGATGTTTCGTTCAGCCCAGGAAAGGCTCCTGATGTTTTGTCCAGTCCAAGAAGGGCTCCTGATCCCCAGTCCAGCCCAGGAAGGGCTCCTGATGTTTCTTTTAGCCCAGGAAGGGCTCCTGATCCCCAGTTTAGCTCAGGGAGGGCTCCTGATCCCCAGTTCCGCCCAGGAAGGGCTCCAGCCCAAGAGCTCTCTCCAGTGCCCGCTCCTCAAAAATGCCCGCCCTCCCACCCGCTCCGGCCTCCTCCAGCGTCTCCATGGTCGGTGTCTCCCTCCGCCTCCGAGGCCCGGACTCTGCCTCAGTCCGTAGACCCAGCTCCACCGTGCTCCCTCATCCCTCCGGCTCCGCTTTGGTCGGGCATCGCCTCTGGACTCCCCTCCAGCGTCACCATGGTCGGAGTCTCCCTCGCCTCCGCCTCCAGGCTCCGTTGGGCTCCTTCCTCCCGTCAGCTCCACCTTGGTCCTCAGTCGCTCCGGCTCTGCCGCGGATCTCTGGATCTCCGCCTTGGTCGCCAGAGCCCTTGACTCCACCCTGGCCCCCCGGATCCTCGGCATCCCCCTGGCTCGTTGGCTCTCCGTCTCCTCCTCGGGCTCCTCCTCCACCTGCTACTCCGCCGTTGGTCGGCCCCCTGGAGTCGGTGGACATTCCTCCTCCATGGCTCCTCCCTCCACCGCGGGCCGCTATTATGGCTGTGGCCAGGGTCCCACCTGGCTCCACCTCCTGCTCCGGTTCCCTCCTGTCGTCTCCCTGGCTCTGTTAGCTGTCCTCCTCCTGGAAGTCCGTCCTCCGCCGGAACCTCTACCTGTCGGCTCTGCCTGCCAGCCCTTTGCCTTCCCCTGTCACCATCTCACGTCCTCCTAGTCCCCCTCCGCCCCTCCCTCTGTTTCTATGGTGTGAGGACGCACCTTCCGGGAGGGGGGAGTAATATATTGGCTCCACCCTGGCCCCCTGGCTCGTTGGCTCTGTCGTCTCCCTGGCTCTGTTAGCTGTCCTCCTCCTGGAAGTCCGTCCTCCGCCGGAACCTCTACCTGTCGGCTCTGCCTGCCAGCCCTTTGCCTTCCCCTGTCACCATCTCACGTCCTCCTAGTCCCCCTCCGCCCCTCCCTCTGTTTCTATGGTGTGAGGACGCACCTTCCGGGAGGGGGGAGTAATATATTGGCTCCACCCTGGCCCCCTGGCTCGTTGGCTCTCCGTCTCCTCCTCGGGCTCCTCCTCCACCTGATGTCGTCCTCGTCATCCTGCCTGCCTCCACACACCTGGACCGTGACAGCATGTTTGTTTGGTGACACTTTACAACTCGGCTAACATCAGTTAATGCATTAACTAACAATAAGCAATACATTAGTTACATGATTTATTAGTCTTTTCTGCATATTTGAATGAATGAATACTTTACAATACTCAATTTGTTAACATTAAAACAATTTTTATTCATTCATTCAAATATCTAGCATAGCGTTAGTTCTGGCAGGGCACGTTAGTCAAGCTCGCATCAGCTGACTCTCAGCTGATCCCCATCAACCTATGGGAATACGACACCTATCTAAGCATTCATATATATATATAAGGTCCCTCAGTATTATCAGCAGTTTTCGCATTGCTCAATAGCTAATTACCCTCCTCCATCCCCAACTCCTCCTCTGTCAGTCAGGATTCAGCCTTCTGATTCTCCTTTGAATCAGACTAATTCTAAAATGTGTACATAACATTATTGAACTTTAACGATATCTGCAATACATTTATGTTGGTTCTGTTCTGTTTACCCTGGGGGGTTATCACTGCTCTCCCTGCTCTCATCCATGCTATGCTGTTTCTATGCTATGCTGAGTTCTTGCCCAGAACAGAACCATACCGCCAATCCAAACTGTATGCTAATTGTCAATCATCTTTGACGATAGTGGTCCTGACAGAAATACAGAATACTTACAGAGTGTGTAAACATTATTTCAGGACTTTATGCTAGAAATTAAAACAAAAAAGTGCCCTACTGTGTCCTGTGTTTGTATGCCTTATTTACATTAAAGTACTCAACTTTATGCATGTGTAAATCATTCATAAAGAGCTTCTTTTAAAATAACAGAAGATGTAAGAAAAGTTCTGGGAATATCTTTGTAAAATTATTTAAGCTTAGGACAAAAGTAGTTGATACCCACAGGACAGAACTCGATATGTGATGCATAAGAAAAACTCTTTGTGTGTGTGTAGTTTCATCGCCCATCAGCTCCGTAATCTTCATTTTGACTGCTGTGTTTGTGGCCGTGCTTTTTGTCATCTTGTACAACATCCTTCCAGCCTTACACAGGTAAAACCCACAATACATTTACATTTATGCTTTTATGCATCCATCCAAAATGTCAGACATTGAAATCAATATATACATTTAATCAGTCTATACATTCCCTGGAAATCAGTCTCATCTCAGTACACTGGTATTGCTACAGGAACGGTCGTTCATATTTGGCTGGTTTTATTTGTGATTTGTTTATTCATGTGTGTAATTCTATAATAGAAGGATCAAGTTGTGGAAGGGATCAATTCCATCGCCCATAAAGAGCAAAGTGCTGGAGGGGATGATGAAGGTGAGCCTTTACTAACTGATCTTGGAACAGTAAATGTTTAAGGTGAATCTGGAGTTTGATGCCCAATATAATTAATATAGTGTTTTCAATTTGTTTTTTTTTCAATGTTTTTGTCAATTCTTTTTATTTTTTTTTACTTTGCTTTAATTAATTTCACTGTTTCTGGTACACAACAGCTAAAAGAATGGCAAATATGCCTTTTTTTGTAAGTTTTATAACTAGTAATCCACTCGTCCAAATTACACCTGGTTATATGTATTACATAATAGTTTTTTTCTATCTTTCTCTCTTTCAGAAGTCTCCAAGTGGATGGCCAAATCTCCAGAGTGAGAAAGAGTCAACCTCCATCTGTGTACTACTGGCTGCAGACAATGTCAGTCTCTGCAAAAGCAGGTAAGCTCTGAATCAAATTATAACATTTTGCAGTAAAAACATTAATTGTCTCCATGAATATCAATATTTTTTTATTATTTTTTATTTTTAGATTTTCAGTTTAATTTTAGTTTTAGACATCCTTGTGTCTTTGTTTTCATTTTTTTGTTTTTATATTCTAAAGCTGTACTTTATTATTTACTGTAAATACTTCTTTATATGTTTAAATTAATTTATTTCAGTTTTAGATTTAGTAATTTCAGTACTTCAACTTATTTCAGCTAGTTGCCAAGTTTTTTTTACACTATTTATATTTTATTAAATTATATTTTATTATTATTATTTATATTTCAGCACTATTACGGAAAAATGTTTAACAGTTTTAGTTTTGCTTTTAGTTTTAGTTAATAATAGCAATACTCTCTAAAAAGGAAATGAAACATTTCGCCTAATGCCACCAGTGCCTCTTTCCTTTTCAAACCCTCAAACTTCTTGTAATTCACATTATGGAAGTGGGTTCAGGTTCATGTTTGTGTATCTTAAATCTCTGTGTCTGACTATGTTTTTCTTTAACACTTCACTTTGTTACAGTGTTTCTTGGGAGCCGCGTTTGTCACACAGTGAAGAAGCTGTTAAAATGGCACGGTCTGGTGGATCAAACCACTTGCACGCCTATGTGAGTGAAGGCATGTGCAAGGACAAATCAGGCATGAACTTCAGCGGACCTTATATTCTGTGCTGCGAGGAACCCTGCACCCAGGTCAAGTTTCCTGATGCCTCTATAGACAGAGATCACACATGTGTTTTGGGAAAGTCTGAGAATTTTGCTTCGGTAAATGGAGGCTACGTTGTAACTCCTCCCAGCGCCATGCCAGCAACTCAAAACCCCATCCTCGTCGACAGCCCGACCAATAGCCCTTCAAACGAACCCCCTGCGTACACCCCCGGCCCAGATCATGGTTGTATGGTCCTCCCTCATCCATCTGGATACTTCACAATGCCATGTGTCATCACGGACTAGTCAGAACTGAGAGGATATGTGAAGAGTGCAAATTCTGGAACATAATGACCAAGCACTCAATGACTGTTAGTTTGGTGCTTTAAAAAAAAAAAAACATGAAGGGCCTACAGCAGGGGTGCCCAAACTCGGTCCTGGAGGGCCGGTGTCCTGCAGAGTTTAGCTCCAACCCCAATTAAACACACCTGAACAAGCTAATCAAGCTCTTTTAGGCATACTAGGAACTTAGCAAGTTGGAGCTAAACTCTGCAGGACACCAGCTCTCCAGGACCGAGTTTGGGCACCCCTGGCCTACAGGCTCAAAGAAGGAGCCAGAGATGGAAGACTAGAGCTAAGTACAATGAGCGGAGCACAGTGAATGTAATTCAAATCTTTGCTTTATATAAACTGTCACTTTACGAGCAATGTCTAGTGACAGATGAATGTTTCGCATGTTCATAATGAAAGGGGGTGAAAGACTCATTGGAGCTTCAGTAGGACTTTGAGTTGAAGCTGTTGTACTGTGAAAGTCTCACCAACAGATGGCAGTGTTGCTTTATATGAATGTAAGAAAAGTCGAATTGTTTTCTCATTTTCTCAGTGCAAACCGTGGAAAGCAAACAACGCATTAGTCGAAAATGACACCGTGCCTCACATACCCACAAGCAGGGGATGTCTTATTTTCTTCTTCATAAGCTTTTGCAGTTAATTCAGCTTGACAAACACTGGCAGCCTCATTCACTAACTGTGTACGCAGGTATTTGTGCACAAGAACATCTGCTGTTCACACAGAAATCACGTTCCATCAGTAATGTTCCATAACTGACTGAATGTACAAGCACATTGATTTATTAGTGAATGGGGCGCATTTTGTATATAAGCAGTGCTGTTTTGGATTTTTGCAATCTTTATACTTTTTTAAAACATTTCAAATGAACGTTTTTTAAAAATCTCTCTATAACTTACATTGTGTTAAAATATTGCGAATGTTGTTATGTGTCATCTGAAACATTAAAAACTATTTATGTGCTGAGCTAAAGACAGTTTCAGGTTGGTCATGAGCGGGCCCAAACAAACAAAAAAAAGTGTTTGTTTCCTTAAGCTGTGATTGCAAACTATCTGTACTCAAGCAAATAAAGATTTAGCTAAAGCTCAAGAGTGGCTCCTTGTACTCTTCTTCCACACATGTAATTTTAGTGTCTGTTGATGTGTGTTTATCTCCGTCTCTTTCAGTGTCTCACATGTGTGTTTTTTGGCATGCTGGAGTTTATGGAGTATGTCTGTATCATCGGTTTCACACGGAGCAGATGTGATTTATCGCAGCCTAATCTACTCCACTGAGCACCTTGTGTTGGCCTTGTGTGTGTGTGTGTGTGTGTGTGTGTGAGACAGTGTGTGTGTGAATATGTTTTAATTACACCAACATGAGTCATTAAGAGTTTCTAACAGTTCATTTCATATTTTCTCCCCACCAATATGGCCTTGACCGTGACGACAGAATGCACAATTATTGTTTTTCCACAGACAATCCTGTTAAATTCTGATCGTGCTCCTGAAAGCAGATACATTCCACACAAAGGCTTTAAGATCTATTGTTCAAGAGCAAATGAGAAGAGCACAACCAAGACAGACAGAGATACAGAGACATGAAGGGAGAGGTGGAGTTCTTGTTGCTTTGTTGTAAATAAACAGGAAAGCCTTCAAGGTGTTTGGAAACGATGGCGATATGAGACCATTATGCAATCGTGGGGTCTCCATAGGAGTACTGCAATAATACAGCTTCAAATACCTTCACTGATTTATAAAAGCTTCCTGAAATACAAAACGATCAGTTTCAGGCCTGGAGGATGTTAAAGTAAAATAAGAAGAACAAAAAACATCAAAACAGTCAATATTATTCTTTGCAAATACTATTTTTCATGTTTTTGAATGATAATAAAGTCATCAATACCATGAAATAACAGATAGAAGCATGGGAATTCATTATAAAAAGACAAAAATTACCAAATTGTCTTAAAAATTGTCTGAAGTTCTTACCCAATTACATTTTTCAGAATATCAATACATTCTGGTCAGATCATATACTCTAAAAAATGCTGGGTTAAATACAACCCAGTGCTGGGTCAAATAGGGACAAACCCAGCAATTGGGCTGTTTTGACCCAGCGGTTGGGTTATTACCCAGAAGGTTGGGTTAAACATTTAACCCAACCGCTGGGTCAAAACAACCCAATTGCTGGGTTTGTCCCTATTTTACCCAGCACTGGGTTGTATTTAACCCAGCATTTTTTAGAGTGTACAGATGTTATTAAGTCATACAATATTAAATTATCAACACAATAATTCTTGTTATAGGCATTCTTATATTACACTTACCATAAAGCAGGGAGACTATCTTGTAAATATATATATACATAAAAAAAATGTATATGGTTTTGCATACAGTATAGACCTCAACACTTAACACACAATCCTTATATCGACAGTGGCAGTCAGCAAATAAAAGCATCACTGCACAGCAAATAATAACGGCTGATGTAGTTATGGCAAATGTAACATTTTGTCTTTTCTAAACAACAATCAATTTCTTGATATATTTTCCCCTTTTGGAAAATGTCATTCATGACTATAGAAATTTACAAAACTATGGCAACTCACACTGAAAACCTTGGATACATAAAAGCACCAAAGCAGTCCACTAAATGCACTAGACTTCCACATGAGGGTGAGAACAAAATAGCAAATCCTTTGCAGCATAAATAGCCAATCAGACCTATTTACAGTTATGCGATCTGTATATCACACAGAAGTTGATACAGAACTGTAATTTCCTGTTCGCTAAAAAATTTCGAGACAGAAAAAAATCACAACAGAGCTAGCTAAAGATTCATTTGTGCAAAACATGTCAGCTGCACATATGACTACTGCTGCATTGTGAGTGTCTGTGTGTGTGTGTGTGTGTGTGTGTGTGTGCTCTCACTTCGTCATGACAGCCACATCTGACATCATCAATACAAACCTGTCCAATAGCTTGGGAGAAGTGACCAGGTCAAAGGTCATGATGAAGTTAAACTGTTCTGGTAAGTATTTAGTCGAAGGGACAAAAGCGAGTCACATTTAACATATAAAAAACACTGAACATGATTTTATCCAAAGCAACAACTTGGGATCCTACCTCAGACACCAAGGGGAAAATATTGCCTCTCTGTTTGTAATCCTAACACACTCTCATACATAATCAACAGGCCAATTGTCCCACATCTTTCTATAAAAACAACATTTTAGGCTAATCTGTTTAGCTCAGTAATCCTGCCTTTTGAGCTGACCTCTGACCTTTCGTGATCTGCTCATGGAAGACCCATTCACTTGTGAACCAGTGAGTCAGAACGAAACTCTCTCACCACAAAAGTTCCTGAATTCTCATTTAAATGATCATTATGTGTATTTAAAAAAAGACTATATTCTAGTGAGTAGTGAGAGAAACTTGGCAGGTTGTTTAATAAAAAATGGTTTATCTTAACTATAATGCTTCCTCAGAGTCATTTCCACGTTCCCCGAGGCTTGCTGACTTATGTCCCTAAAATTAACAGACATAATAAAAATATTAACAAATGAAAATTCAGTATTAATATTCGAATCAAAGTTTATTTATTAAATCGATCAACAGGCTCCCAGAACATCAAAAGGGTAAAACATGTATTATTTTAGTTGTAGAAAGGTTGTGACAATGTATGTCTTCAATATGGCAGATGTCAAAGATTTTTTAATCATATTTTATAACATTGCAGAAATGTTATGAGATGTTTAGCATGGCTTATTACATAGTTTTTGTTTATTTATTTATTTTCATGGTATTTTCTAGGGCTCCCTCTTTTTTTATTCTAGTTAAACTATAGGTCTCCCACACTTTATTGTTTTTTTTTTTTTTTTCAAAATATTTCTTACAGAAGGCTTAAAGCCTAAAACAATGCTTGGCAAATGCTGCAGTTTTGTGTGGATTTAAATACATTACAGATTATTTTAAGGCTACTCTAAGAAAACCTACCAGGTCTTTTTGCAACATTTCCAGATCACTTTATATTATAAATGGGTTCTAATGAAGACATATTTGCAGTTCGATTCAATTCACATATTTGTATAGCACTTTTCACAATACATGTTTTTTTTTCAAAGCAGCTTTGTAGAAAATGCATGTTTCCGATGTTACAGTAAAGAAGCCAGAAGTGACTGAGATGAACTAACTAACAATAGTAACAAATGTGAGTTGCAAATAACATTTGTTGTAAAACTTTGTACTGCAATATACACTATACTTGCAATGTAACATCAAGACAATGTTTGTGCTTGCTGATCACACAATACCTGAATCATAAGTGATGGATGGCAGAATGTCAGATGAGATGCACATCAGGGTAATAGCTCTACAATCTGTTATTTAGAGTATACGAGACAAAAACCGTCAGTCTCGGAAGGTCTGTGGCAGGAGGTTATTTGAGGCTCAGTGTCACACAAATATGCACAGAGATAAACATACAATACACACTCTCTCTCTCTCTCTCTCTCTCACACACACACACACACACATCTGTGGTAGAATGCACATGTTCACACACCCAAACCATGCACAAGCTCACACACAATAGATCAGATCTTTATCTGTACCAGCAGCGCACACACTGTCTTCCTGTTATCCTATTTAAGGCCTTGTGGAGTGTGCTCATGCGTTTGTGTATGAAACTATTTGTACAAGCTTGATTAAACGGTTTGAGCTGTGTCTGACTGTGCAGGTCTAGCATTTAGATGTCTTTCATCCACGTTCTCTGAAACCAGTTTAAACAGGTGATCATTTAAAGCATCTGGTTTGCTTTTTCCACACTAAAGAGTTTGTCTGCACTGAAAAACAGTATATTTTCTGAGATTTGTTCCAGTTCTCACCTCTAATTTAGAGTCCAATTCATGTTTTTAATCTTTGTCATCCTTCTCCAAAATGCACCATGTGACTCTACTCTATATTTCAAGTCTTATGAAACCATATGAAATGTAAAAATAATTGACATGCTATATAATAGAATTATAGATGTACATTTTGTACTGTATGTATTTTGATACAAGTTTTGCTTCACA